AAAAAAAAAAAAAAAAATCTTTCCCTTTGACCATCACACACACTAATACACTCGTTCTCTTGCACTATGAAACTCTGTATCTTCTGTCTAATTTTCCAGCCAGTAGAGGAGGTAATGGAGCATTTCTCTATCATATATTGTTTGGGGTAAACAGAGCTAAATAAATCTGTTTACTGACATACTGATTTTTTTCACCTGGAAGACAAACCTTCCAAAAGTTACACGTTACAGAAAACATTATACATGTCTTATAATAAATGTATGTTTTCTGTATGTTCACACATGAGAATTATGAACACCGGGCATACATTCACTTATATGAAATATGAAACAAGAATTCATCTTTTGATTCACACACCTCATCATTAGCCTTTCTCTTTTTGCCATTCATTGGCTTTTTTCTCTCTCGTCTTGTACACGTGTGTTTTCATCCAGACTGCGTTTGAGTTTCATTTTCTGGAGATGCTGGGGTTCACGTACAAGACTTTCTTCGCTATCTGGAAGAGAACAGTACGTGTGTTAGTTATTGAAAGAAATAGCTAGGATGCAATAAATTGATCAAAAGTAACATACATTTATAATGTTACAAACTATGTCTGTTAGGTTCTACAAAAGAAATGCTGTTCTTTTGAGCTTTCTATTAATTTCCATTCAGCACTGATAATAATAAGCAGCAAATCAGCATATTAGAATGATTTCTGAAGGATCATGTGACACTGAAACCTGGAGTAATGATGCTGAAAATTACATTAATCGTTTTGCAAATCTTCATAATGGACCCAAACAGAAGCATCATTACTATACTGCATCCCAACCACATTTCTGCAAAGCTAACGTCTATTTTGTGATGAAACAGCTTCAGTAACATCTCTCAAATGTGCTTTGATCAGGTTATAGGAGCATAACGTGGTCTGTAGACAATTCTCTTGTAAATTAAAAATTAATGCGGTACTTTACTAGTTACTTGGAAAAGTAATCTGATTACGTAACTCGCGTTACTTGTAATGCGTTCCCCCCAACACTGCTCCTGACGACTCAAGTGCCTGTTGTTGTTCTGAATCCTGAAACAAAATGTATCAAGTTTTCCCCAAAAAATATGAAGCAGCAACATTGATAATATTAATTTTTCTTGAGCAACAAATCAGCAGATAAGAATGATTTCTGAAGGATCATGTGAACATAAGAGACTTATTTCAAAAACATTAAACAATGTAATTAAACTTATAATATAGCAGCAGAGACGTAACTTTAATCATGCACTTTAACCTAGCCAACACACTTAAACTAATATTACTAGTTAAGGAAAGTCATCATAATTGCGTAAGTGGAACGGAGTCGTTCGATGACGTTCCTGCGGCTAAGCAAGATCTTCATCTCTGATTGGTTGGTGGTTAGACTTCTGGGAAATGTAGTCCTTAAATTTATTGTCACGTAATCTTAGAATACGCTGCATACGATGACATTTTAACAACATTTGTATTATAACGTACCACTCTAAAATATATATGAAGTGATCAGACAAGCTATTTTCTTCAAAACGCCGAAATATCAAAGCGGAACTAGATTTCAGTTAATTGTAGTTGTCCTCCCGGGCAGAGTTTACAGTGGCGCTCGTTATATGACCGGGGAGAATCACGCCTGTTATCAACGAGTATAGAAGACCAGTCAGTATAAGTTGTTTGCTGTTATGAAGAAACCCTCAAGATGTCACAAGTCCGCGTGCATTTATCACGGTTTTCTTTAGGCCACAATGTTTTTACAAGCCGAAGTCATGCGAATTTAAGGCAAGTGAATATTTTTTCCTTGTATAGATTATTAAATAACCATTATTTACCTCAGTAGAATTTATGCAACCAAATTGCTTTGTATTGTACATTAATTAAAACAAGCCTTTAATGAACTGAAATTGTTTTTGAACAGATTTCTGACCGATTTTTCTTTAAACACTCTAATGTTCTCTTAAATTGTCAGCTGACCTTGGCTAGAGGGATCTCTGTGTAAATCATATTTTAATTGTTTTAGGCAAAAAGAAGCACAGCATTTATTCCTAATTTTCTGTAATGTTATTTATGGCATTTTAAAAGTAATGTTTCATTACATTTTTATCTCTAGACCATGTGTCACAAGGATGCTGTCCCTGACATCACAGCTTAATGCAAAACCCAGAAAACCTCCAGATGATGATAATGAAGCATTCAAACCCATCCAGTTCTCAACCAGCAAAGCCAGCCACCGAACCTGGAAAGTGGACCGTTCGATGGGCAGCACTTACCAGCGGCCCTGGTGGAAAGTTCTGCCCGTCAGCATCATTGGAGTGGGCTTCGTCGTCTGGTGCATGTTCAGGAGAGAGAGCGAGATAGACGAGTCTCTGGAGAAAAACCTCTATGAACATTTACCAGGACTGCTGGCCGATGAAGAGCAGGAGGAAGTCGGCATCAAAAACAAACCCTCATAGTGGCTTAAAAAGGGACATTTTCAATTTGGAATGTTTATTTATCGTTCAGAAGTAAAATGTTTTCTCCATGCTGAGAATCCTCAAATCAACCGTCCACATTCTGTGCTCTTGAAAGTGTTTGTATTGAACTGGATCATTGTAGCTGGGTTTAAATCGAAGATTGTAAAGTCAGTGGCGTTGTATTGAAAGCATAATGGAGAAACTTCGGAATTGTAATTTTGGGGTGACTGCTAGTTTATAAATAATGTCATCAGGGAACCATTATTGGACACACTGAAAGTCAACATTGAGAACATACTTTAAAGTGATACTGATAGTGAGCTGTAAAATAAACTCATTTTAGCATTACATAATCAAAGGGGGCATGTAAAAATGTACTTGATATGGTTTACATACCATAGACAGTGAAACTTAAATTTCTCATTACATTATGCAAGTCAAACTAAAAATAGGGGAAATACTTTGCACTGCTCCTATTTAAAAAAAAAAAACATGATACGAGATGTGAAAATTAAAGGGTTGCAAAAAGGTTTGCTTTTCCTCCTGAGACTATTATTTTTTTTTTTTTTATCAACATGCTTTAGTCATTATTAGGACCTAGATCGCATTTAATCAAACTTTGTATATATCATCAAGTTAGCAAGTCTTCTGTGTTGGAAAGACTCAATTTACAGCTTAAAGTTAAAACACCGTGGCATCTTAAACCCTACTGAACACAAAATGAACGGCAAGAAACATTGAGGTAGTGGAAAGTTTATTTACAACCCCTCCACAAAAAAGTCGAGTAAATAGTAAAGAGAGTTTAAGCGCGCTCTCCACGGATTCGACGGGCCAACTGGATGTCTTTGGGCATAATGGTGACACGTTTGGCGTGGATGGCACACAAGTTGGTGTCCTCAAACAGACCCACCAGGTATGCTTCGCTTGCCTCCTACAAATCAGAGCGAGAAAACGTCATTACGAGCGACCAAACAAACAGAAAGTGTAGTAGCTCTATACACAACCCAGAACTAGAAAACACACCTGCAAGGCGCCGATAGCAGCACTTTGGAAACGCAAGTCGGTCTTGAAATCTTGAGCGATCTCCCGAACCAGACGCTGGAAAGGAAGCTTGCGGATCAGCAACTCTGTGGACTTCTGGTACCGACGGATCTCACGAAGAGCCACAGTTCCAGGGCTGAGGGGGAAAGCAGAAAATGACAAATTATTGACTTATTGTTATTGGGACAATGCATGAAATTCACTGAATAGAAAGTAAAGTACATTGTTGATTATTTAACAATGTATATAACATTGTGCATATACTAAATAGATATAAAACTGTCACTTTGTGTCTATACACTGAATATAAATACAGAAAATACACAATGTATATAAAATATTCAGTGTATACACTATATAAATACACAATATAGCATCTACAATATTCAGCATATACACTATATAATGCTCATTGTGTATATACTGAATATGTAAAATACACAAATATTTTTTGTATATTCAGCATATACACAATTTCTTATATATAAAATGTATTAACATTATATTGTGTGTATATACTGTATATAGATATTTTGTATACAAAATGTAATTTTAAATCATGTATATTGTTACTTACTAGTATTTATATATTCAGCTCATACATTTAACTTACACATTTCTTGTATATTTAAAAAGGTCCGTACATTATATCGTGTATATACTGTATGTATATCATGTAGGCCTATACAATGTATATAAGCTGAATATATAAAATACAACAAACACGATATAACTATTTACATATATTGTGTATATACTGCAAAAATATATCTCGTGTATATACACACCGAATAATTTATATATTCAGTATGTACACTATAATACATAAAACTTCCAGTGTACACAGGAAATAATGTATATAAACAATTGTCCATGTATCTACTACACGTGTTCAGTGTTTCTCACCGGTATCTGTGGGGCTTCTTGACTCCACCGGTGGAGGGCGCACTCTTCCTGGCCGCCTTGGTGGCCAGCTGCTTCCTGGGGGCTTTACCACCGGTGGATTTACGGGCGGTCTGTTTAGTACGTGCCATGGCACTCTAATGAAGCGGCCTAAAGAGAGACAAAAACCGATAAAGAACAGCCGCGAGGAAATTCCGCGCGCCATGACGTCATCCGCGACAAAACTCCAGCGTCTGTGTCGCCCAATAATAAAGTCATGCAGGAACACATTTAATGTTTGGGAAAAGGATACCATGACAATAATATCCTAAATAAGGTGTTTACAACTTGGGGGCGCCATTTAGGAGATTAAAACTAAACGGAAACTTAAAAAGGTAAACGAGTTCACAAAATATATATTCTATAAACGCTCAGCTTTTATGCATTAAAGTGCATATAAAGTCAAACATGTATATAAGCAGATAGAAAAGCGAATCAATAACCTGAACAACTTGCAGTGGGAAACTGGGTCACACACACACACACACATTACTGAATCCCATTCAACACACACATTGCCTGAAGGCAAAAAATCTTCAACGGCAGCGACTTTCATTCACCCATTCAGCAACTAGTAACTGTTACTACATATACGTTACGCCACGTTCTCTTCAATCACGGCGAAAGACACCAGAAACACCCGGTAAACTGAGATGTAGCAGCTCGGAGTAATGCAGTAGTGAAGTCCACCATCTCAGGATGAGACACAGACACGTTTCTGCCTTTATGTGTAACATGGCGCCCAAGAAAACCAATTACAGCCTTTTCTTTGTCTACACCGACAATTCAATAACCGTCGTCTGAAAGCAGTTAAACAAAAAACGACGTGTAACGTGAGACTATGTGTTAAAAACAAAGGGTTAAAGTTAAAAATAATGAACGAACTTCTGAGGTAAAGCAGGAGTAAATATGAGCTCGCTAGCTTAACGTTAGCTTGTTGCTACCGCGACAAAAATGATCTAAAATCGCCGTTTACGAATCCAAACACAAAACGCGGACTGAAGAGATTTTCTATATTCTCAAATGTTTTATTAACACGATATTTAAAAGGATGAATACAAGACAAGATTGATTTTCGTTGGTTTAAGAGCAACCGTTAACGATACTTACGATTTTTTGTTTCGGTTAATCCGTCAAACCCACAAGGAACGTCCGTCAGGCACAAAACGAACCGCCTTGTATTTATACAGTCAGTGACGTCTATGCGATGTTAAGACACGCCCACGTCGACTCTCATTGGCTGGAGGAGCGAGGGGCAGAATTTACTCTTCTTTAGTATTTATTATTTACAATAATTTTAGCGCGGTTTTGATGTAAATGTAAAAGTCTCTTTGGTCTGTCTCTGCGGATGAATCAGACTAAAACTGTTTTTACATTTAAAATGGCGTTATATATACATTTAATCATCTTCGTGAAACATCCATAGACTGTATAGGAAACATCCGATGATTTTAGAATCCTTCCATTTGTAGCCCTGAACCAGTTTGGTGTCGATTACATAACCATGTAAAAACAATGGTCACATACGGTTCCTTTTAATAATAGCCAGTGCAAAACATTACTGATATATTATTGCAACAATCGTTGCTTCGCAAACCACGACGAAAAACATACAATGCTTTTGAGATCCACTATTTTTAGTGCAGTCTTTGTGTCACCATTGCCTAAGGAGGGCAAATTTTATTGCGCTGCAGTAGGAATTTTTAAATGTGCTATCGGCGGAATCCCTTGTTTGGTGCACACACATGGGATATATTCACACATGCATATCTGAAATCTGTAAATATATTGGAAAATCCAACGCTTCGAGCAGAAGTAGTTTACTAATTCTGGAAACTTGACAGGTGATCGTTTGTGTTTTTTCATATAAAAGAGCAGACTACTAGTGTATTTGTGATTTTAGAAGATTAAAGCTTCAGCTATGGCAGAGAAATCAACTGTAACGGGTAAGATTACAAACAATTCCAGCTGAATGTATTGAATTTACGTGTCATTTTGTAGACTTTGATGTTGCATTGTACTGTGTGACTTGGTGACATGCAGTCTAAGCGGCAGATACATGTTTTGGAAATGCCCTCATTTTGATCATGCTTTCCAGAAACACCCAGAATACTGGAAAATGAGGAAAAACACGGATGGCCAGAGTGGCGAGGACCCTGAAAACAGCAGCCCAAAACGCTGACACTCCTGCCAATGCTAAAAAACTCAAGAAGAAGAAAAAGAAAGCAGGTGATGGAAAAGGTCCTCATTTGTAAGTCGCTTTGGATAAAAGCGTCTGATAAATGACTAAATAAATAAAATAAATAAAATATATATAGTTTAGACAAACTCTGGGCAAAAGAAACCCTCACTTTCTGATCTTTCTACACATATGCCTCCATTTAGGGGAAGATGCGAGCCGCGCTCTGAAGACGTTACGCAGCTCCAAAGCTCCCCTGGTGAAGAAGAGGCAGGTAATGCGAGCGATCTCTGGAGACTACAGGAAGAAGATAGAAGAGGAAAGAGCCAGACAGTTCAAACTCATACAGTCAGGTAAGGCAGTGGCATAATATGCATTTATATATCCAATTTATTTTTTGTTGATGTGCCTTAAAATTAAGAGGGCAGCTATGTATTTTCATGTATAAGAACCAAATAATGCTGTGAAAAGTATTCTAAAATTTTTTATATTATTTTGGAAATATTTCGTTTCTATTGTTTCGTTACGTTTTTTATTACCCTGTCCACTATAGTACTGTGCTGCTATGTATTATTTATTTAAAGATTTTTTATTTTAAAACGATTTATTTATTTTTAAAAATACATTTATGTAAAAATACATAAAAATACATTTGTTACATAATTAATTTTTATTTATATTTAATAAATGTATTTATTAATTTATTTATTTAGTTAGACGTTATTATTTAAAATAATTTATTTTTACATTTTTTTACACTTATTTTTCTAAACCTTTCCACAGACTCCATTTCGAAAACCCCTGCCTTACAATATTCTGACAAAAGTTGCTTACACAATTCTTACAAAATTGCTGTCTCTTTCCACAGCAATGACCTCCGCCCGGCTCACCAGCGTGTCTGAGTGCAAACCAGTGTTTCACCGGCGAGCTGAGAGAAACACACAACCCACAAACAAAACAGACAGATCTCAAGAGACACACACTCTGCAAGGGCCCCGGGAGACAATCGAACACACAAACACTGATGGAGACACAAAATCATTTGTTTTCACTAAAACACATGAAGAGTTTCGCTTTAACTTCAACTTATGACTCGACACGTTAACATCAACCAGCAGGATTTGTACCTTAAGTAGATGTGTGGTCAAATATTACGTACTTCTATTGCACAGTTTTGCCATACATTCTATTTGCATTTTATTAAGCATACAATATTGCTAGATTTCACTTTTTGTAATGTTCAAAGTGTTGCAATCATAGAAAACACTTACGGAAAAAATTCAAATAAAGTGTGAAGACAACCAAAACTTTGCTGATTCACTTTTTTTATATTTTTTATTTTATTGTACTGGGTTTTATAGACTTTTTTTTTTCAATTTACTAATACTGATGATTTATTAAAATATACATGAATTGTGTACATGAAGCGTGTTTCTGATGTATTGTAAGAGTTGCTATGGTAACGTATTTAAAATGCCTGTATAAGAAATGTCAGCTTATTTCTCAAATATTTTAAGTGCATTATGTTCACATCAAGTCAATGCTCTCAGCCAAAACAAGCCTTTTATTTTAGATATTTTATTATGTGTAGCATTCTTTTGCATTTTATCAACAAGCGTGTTGCTGTTTGATGTCGTCAGGCACTTAATATATCAGTGCCGCTGTGGCTCATGGGATATGCAGTTTTATATTGTGCACTAGCTGTTTGAACTGTATTATGAGAAGCAGACAAAAGACTACAACTCCCTACAACACATTTAACAACACGCCCCGGCTGGACCACAAAACTTCCTTTGAGTTGCCGCCAGTGTTGCCAAGTCACTGTTGCCGCGGGTTGAAGCGACTCCAATAACATGATATTTATCCCCTGGAATCCGAATTTTATCAGGGGAACCCCTCCAAAAAAACGTGTATTTTTAACCCCCGGAACGCGATTTTTAACTGGGGACCCCCTGTAAACGTTGTGCTAGTTTGGGGCTAGTTTTGAGTAGCGATTGGGCGGGGTTTCTTGTGAAAACCTGGCAACCCCGGTTGCCGCTGATTTTCCCATTTCTGAACAAAACATTGATTTACCAGTTTGGAAAGTTTAAATTGTTTCAAGGTTTGTACGCTTTTGTTTGTCAGGTGCTTATGTTGTAAAAGGCTGTAATTTCCATATTTAGATAACTTTTTGTAACTATAACTTTTCAGCTTCACAACTGTTATAAAGATAATATTAATAAGAGTATGAAATAAAATTTTTTGAGTCGAATTGACCGTCGGACAAATCTGATACCAGGTAATTGAACATAATTTCACTGTATAAATCAAATTTAAAGAGAGGGATAAAATAAATTATTGTTTTATTTTGACATGCGTTAGTTTTAGCAAATATTGTTGCACAGAACTGTAAATATTAAATATCAAACCTAATTTTCAGAGCAGGATGTCTGAACTGAGCGACGAGGCCAGCAGTGAGTCGGAGCAGTTAGGCGCGAGTCTGTCCGTGTGGCTGGCGGGCGGGGGAGACGCTCTGATCGGCCCGGAGGAGCTGAACGTGCCGCTGGATCTTCACACCGCCTGCTCCATCGGACAGTATGATGTGGTGGCCGAATGCATCCGCAGGTCAGATGGAAGAATCTGCTGTTCATGCATGTCTCCATCTAACCGCTTTTGACATGTTTTAGTCCAGAGTGTTTGAACGTTTAAAGAAATATATGCTTCAATCAGAGACTAGATAGATAGATAGATAGATGGGAGAGATAGATAGACAGGTAGACAGACAGACAGACAGACAGATAGATAGATAGACAGACAGAGATAGAGATAGATAGATGGGTAGACAGACAGACAGACAGACAGACAGACAGACAGATAGATAGATAGATAGATAGATAGATAGATAGATAGATAGATAGATAGATAGATAGATAGATAGATAGATAGATAGATAGATAGATAGATAGATAGATAGATAGATAGATAGATAGATAGATAGATAGATAGATAGATAGATAGATAGATAGATAGATAGATAGATAGATAGATAGATAGATAGATAGATAGATAGATAGATAGATAGATAGATAGATAGATAGATAGATAGATAGATAGATAGATAGATAGATAGATAGATAGATAGATAGATAGATAGATAGATAGATAGATAGATAGATAGATAGATAGATAGATAGATAGATAGATAGATAGATAGATAGATAGATAGATAGATAGATAGATAGATAGATAGATAGATAGATAGATAGATAGATAGATAGATAGATAGATAGATAGATAGATAGATAGATAGATAGATAGATAGATAGATAGATAGATAGATAGATAGATAGATAGATAGATAGATAGATAGATAGATAGATAGATAGATAGATAGATAGATAGATAGATAGATAGATAGATAGATAGATAGATAGATAGATAGATAGATAGATAGATAGATAGATAGATAGATAGATAGATAGATAGATAGATAGATAGATAGATAGATAGATAGATAGATAGATAGATAGATAGATAGATAGATAGATAGATAGATAGATAGATAGATAGATAGATAGATAGATAGATAGATAGATAGATAGATAGATAGATAGATAGATAGATAGATAGATAGATAGATAGATAGATAGATAGATAGATAGATAGATAGATAGATAGATAGATAGATAGATAGATAGATAGATAGATAGATAGATAGATAGATAGATAGATAGATAGATAGATGGGTGGGTGGGTGGATGGATGGATGGGTGGGTAGACAGACAGACAGATAGATAGATAGATAGACAGATGGATGGGTGGGTGGGTAGACAGACAGACAGATAGATAGATAGATAGAGGGATAGACAGACAGATAGATAGATGGATGGATGAATACAAAGAGATAGAAAGATAGATGGATGGATGGATGGATGGATGGATAGAATATAAGGTAGAAAATAAGATTGTCATGATACCTAATGACTCATTTAACAAATGACAACAGCAACAAAAATACTTTTATTTACCAAACCTCCACTTTCTCTGATCCAATCGTTACTCAGGGGAGATGTGGATTTGGATGGGAAGAACATCGGTGGTTGGACTCCTCTGATGTACGCTGCATATATCGGTCACGATAACATCGCTAACCTGCTGCTGGAGACGGGCGTCAGTGTCAAGGCCACCACGTCTAAAGGACTCACACCGCTGATGCTCGCCGCCAGCTGCGGAAACGAGAGCATCGCCTACTTCCTACTGCAGGTCAGGTTTACATCTGCTGTTAACAGTGACAAAGAAGAGTTATTAGTTGGATTATACAGTTTCTTTCCGATTACAAGTTTGCAGAACTTAGTAGAGAAAACAGTGCTCATTGTAGGATACTGAATGAAACATCTCTCTGTACAGCAAGGAGCACAGCTTGAATGTAAGGATGTGCGCGGATGGACGGCTTTGCTGCTCAGTACAGCTACAGGACATCAGCAGATGGTCAAATTCTTATTAGAGCATCACGCCAATGCAAATATCAAGTGAGTAACATGTGCATTCATTTATACAAAGCAAAACTACGTTCTTGAAATCACCTTCTTTCTTACACAAACAGACTGTGTACATTACTGGCCAAAAGTTTGGAATAATTATGATTTTGCAAATGTTTTTATGTTCACCAAGGCTGCATTTATATGTTAAAAACTACAGTATATCTCAACCAAATATTGTCCTATCCCAACAAACCATACATCAATGAAAATATTATTTATTCAGCTTTCAGATGATGTATAAATCTCAATTTTGAAAAATTGACACTTAAGACTGGTTTTGTGGTCCACGGTCACATATTGTGAAATATTATTACAATTTAATAGAACTGTTTTCTATTTGAATATATTTTAAAGTATAATTTATTCCAGTGATGCAAAGCTGAATTTTCAGCATCATTACTGCAGTCACAGGAATAAATTACATAAATTCCAGTTCCGATATGATGATTAAATTAGAAGTGACATCACCAGATTCTTGATCTATTTTTTGATCATAAATTTGCTGACAGGTTTACGCACTTTTACACAGAAAACTTTTTATCTTTTTATTTCCGAGATGATAACTGGACGCCACTCGTGTGACAACAACGCCACAGTTTATACATTAACAATACTGTATTTACTACTTAGTATGCAATAAATGCTAGTAAATCATTCTGGACATAATCTTGCTTAAACAGCTAGTAAACATGTTACATTTTTGACCTTTGCCCTCACAGAGAGCCGCTGTCAGGATTCACCCCGCTCATGGAAGCTGCTGCATCCGGCCATGAAATCGTCGTTCAGTACCTGCTCAACCATGCAAGTGTGACCTACCTTACTCTGACTTATTTTGAATTTATAATCTAATTATGCCTATAATAATTATGGATGTGCATCAATCTGACAAAGACAACTGAATGCATCTATTAAGAAAACTAATAATCAATTATTAACATTTCTTATCGAAAACAAGATTCATACCTGATCCAAAACTACTTCTGGGTATAAATTGACCCTCTAGTTAAACTTACTTAAAGCTTAGTTTTAAAAATAGCTTTACATCGAACAAAAAAATCAAATCAAACTTAATTGCGACTAAAATTTCTCATTCCCATGATCCCTAATGTCATTTACTACATAATCATAACTGAATTGTTGTCAGAGCAACTATTTACACACCTAAAAAAAAAAACTATTTACACGCCTAATATTAAAAAATGCTTGCGTGTTTTCTAGGGATGTAACGATTAACATTTCGAAATTATACAATCTAATTTATATTAAAAATTGCTCATGTTGCATGTATGCAGCATCTTTGTTTGGATCATGATTAAAATGCAGTGGTTGCCTCTAATTTTAAATGGAAAGAGTACAGACAAAGCCTTATTTTGTTTATATGAAGAGATTTCTTTTATTTGTGTTACTTATTTATTTGATTTGGGGCTTGTTTTAAAATTTCAATTTAGTTTTGTTATTTACATTTACATTATATTTCAATTTAGTCATTTAGCAGACGCTTTTATCCAAAGCGACTTACAAATGAGGACAATAGAAGCAATCAAAACCAACAAAAGAGTAATTATATGCTATAAGTGCTATATTAGTATTTTATAAGTGTTATATTTCAATTTCACAGAGAAACGTGCAGCATTTTGTCCAAGCAATAATAAAAGGACACATTTAATTTATAATTTGTCTTAAATCTCATTTTGTTAAAAAAAAATCGTGAATCGAATCGTGAGTTGAGTGAATCGTTACATCCCCAGTGTTTTCAGTATTTTTGGTTCTGTGTATGATTCAGGGCGTACGAACGGAGGAGAGGAGTGTTAAGGGAGAAACGGCGAGAGCTCTGGCTATGATGTACGGACACACCAAAATCGCCAGCCTCATCGACATGCACGTCATGAGAGCCAAATCATGTCAGTCACGCACCTTAGCATTTGTAATTGACCTTATTTGTCATGAATGCAGAGAATAACACAACCTGATCTCCCTCGGTAGCTCTGTATGAGGAGCTGAGCTCGTCTGAAGAAGAGAGTACGACTCCTAGAGTCCGATCAGCTCGCAGCAGAACCAGAGGACCCAGCATTCACGACGGCCCTCAAGCTATCGCACGCTTCAGAGTCAGCTCCAAACACGGTACTCACACTATATATTTATAGATAGATAGAGATATAGATATCCTTCAGAAATCATTCTAATATGCTGATTTGCTGAAATAGTGGAAAGGGATGTTGAATCTATATATGGACAAAGAACTGTGTTCTTTCATTGCATTAAAACTATTTAATGAAAGAGTTATTTTATTACAATTTAAATATATTTAAAGTATGTTATACGTACATTTACTTTGACAAAGTTAAATATTTAAAAAACAAAGAACATGCTAATAAAATAAAATAATGGAAAGGGATGTTGAATCTAAATATATGCAAAGAAATGTGTTCTTTTACTGCATTAAAAAATATTTAATGGAAGTTATTTTTATTACGTTTTAAATATATTTAAAGTATTTTATAATATATTAACATTTATTTAAAGTTAAAAAAATTAAAAAGTACATTTTAATACAAGACAATAAAAAATAATTAATGAAATAGTTATTTTATTAAATTGTAAATATATGTTTAAATTATTTTATAAATATGTTCACATTTATTTAAAGTTATTTTTTATTTTTTAAAAAGTACATTTTAATAAAATAAAATATAATAAAATAGTGGAAAGGGATGTTGAATCTATATATAGACAAAGAAATGTGTTGTTTCATTGCATTAAAAATATTTAATAAAATATTAATTTGATTAAATTTTATAAATATATTCACATTTATTTAAAGTTAAATATTTAAAAAACTAAATTTTAATACAATAAAATTCAAAAAATGTTTAATTAAATTTGTATTAGTTATTATTGTATTAGTAATTAGTCATTTTATTAAATTATAAATATGTTTAAATTATTTTATATATATATTCACATTTATTTAAAGTAAAAAAAAATTTAAGTAAATTTTTATAAAATAAAATAAAATAGAATAAAAAAGTGGAAAGGGATGTTGAATCTATATATAGATTTAATACAATGAAATTCAAAAAATGTTTAATGAAATTATTATTAGTTATTAGTTATTTTATTAGTAATTAGTCATTTTATTAAATTGTAAATATGTTTCAATTATTTTATAAATATATTCACATTAATTTAAAGTTTTTTTAAAAGTACATTTTAATAAAATAAAAAAAGAATAGAATAGTGGAAAGGGATGTTGAATCTATATATAGACAAAGAAATGTATTCTTTCACTGCAGAGGTTCCCGTGGCTCCACCTGGATACGTGACCTTCCGGGACGCTGGGGATCAGAGCGAGGGAATCTGCAATCGTGATGTCACTTCCCCCATCAATGAGCTCGACGGCCAGAGCAACAGCAGTAGAGGTGTGAAGTTCAGCGAGATGTCAGTCGTTCTCAGCAATGCATCTGCTAAGAGCATGTGATTCAATGTGATTCTGTTTCCAATCTGTATGCAGATGAGCTGTTCTTTGATAACGACATGCCCACCATGAGGAGCAGCAGCAGCAGCAGCGAGGGTCTGTCTCATCTCCTCGGACTCAGCAGGGAGGCGTCGCTGGAGAGCAACAAGGTCCGATCCATCATGCATCACAACAAACATCTCCAGCAAACTGTTCTCTTATCGTCTCATCATGTTTGCAGGACTCTGATCAAGCAAAGAGAAGATGTCCACGTCGATCCAATAAACTCCAGCACTCCAAAGGCAGGAGTCCCGGTAACAGCAGCGGCAGCACCGGTTACCATGAGGCTCCGTCTTCCTCTGGACCTCCTCCTTCATACACTGGACCCAAGGTGTGTGTGTGTGTTTGCATGTTCGTCTAGTCACTTCAGTGTGTGTTATAGTGATGTGTTCCTGAGTCCAAATGCACCAGTAAAGAGTGTGTGTACGTGTTGCAGGATCTTGCAGAGTTTCTGGAGCAGATCGGGTTCAGTAAATACCTTCCCCTGCTGGAGGAGCAAGACATCGACCTGAGGATCTTCCTCACACTTACTGAGAACGACCTCAAGGAAGTTGGCATCACGTGAGTCTTTGTACTTCGCACTGTTTTATTTTTATAATTTGATTAAAATTGATTACTTTATTAAAAATTCATTGTGTTATTTTGTGTTTTATTAAAATTTGTTTTATTTTCAATTTTATTAAAATGATTTTCTAAAATATTTGAATGAAATTAAGTGTTTTTATTTTATAAAAATCCTTTTTTTTTTTTACAATTTTATCACAATTTTATTGTATTATTTTCTTATTTAGTTGAAATGTATTTTATTTGTAATTTCATTAATATTATTTTAGTTTTTATTTTATTTTATTTATACGGTATTTTTATTTTATTTTTTACCATTTGTTTACCACTATTGAACTGTTATTTTTATTTTATTCAATGTTATTTTTTAATTTCATTAATTTTATTTGTATTTTATTTATACAGTTTTTATCACTTTATTTAAATTGTAATTTTTTTATTAAAATATATTATTTTATTTTTCAATCAATTAACTATTTATGCATTTTATTTTATTGTATTTTTATTAATACAATGTTTTTTATATATATTTTTTATTTTAACTACTTTAGCACTTTATTTAAATTGTATTTTTTGGTTTATTAAAGTGTAGTATTTATTTATTTATTTCAATAGTTGTGCTTTTTCTTTATAGTCTGTTTGGTCCTAAAAGGAAGATGACCTCAGCAATAGCTCGCTGGCACAGTAATGCACGGCCGCCCAGTGATGTGTTAGAGCAGGCGTATGCGGACCAACTGGAGGTCGAGATGCAGGAAATGGCCATTCAGCTTCATAAGGTGCTGACTGCATGACTGCCATTCACACCATCTTCACTTCATTCAGCTCTTTTGCATGTGAGGAGGATTGTAGGACTGTAGCTAAAGTCGGGGAAGAGAACCGTCATTTAATTGGCACCTAGTTTGTGATTAAGTGTGAACTGTAACATCAACAACGAACCAAAAAAATTAAGTCTTTGAATGTACGCAGAGTGACGAGACTGACCTATTTCACAAAATAATGTTATAATAATTGCTAAATGTTAACAGGTAGAGTTCTTGCTATATAACCAGGTTTTACCTGCATTTAAATGTATAAAATCTCAGAGCATTACTGGACTTTATATCCATTTGCTTGTGTACTAGGTCACAATAAAATGAATAGCATGCTATAAAATCAATCCATCAAAATAAGTGGAGCTCAAGGGTTGCCATGCATAAAACTGATGTTGTAAAAAAAGAGCACTGTTCTGGCAACAACATTGCCATAAATTTACCACATAATAACTGCAAGTTTGCTGTAGTTATTGTGTGGTTCTCTTAAAGGTGCTTTATGTAATTTTTTGACTACTAAAGCATAAAAACACATAATACCTTTGCAGATATTTAGGATACCTGCTAAGTTTGCATACTTCACTTGTTTCTCCAAAAACAATACTTGCTACAGACAGTTATTCTACTTTGAAATGTGTGTTCCATGTCAGAATGTCCATTTATGTTTTGGTCTGTGTGACTCCGCCCACTGCCGGTTTACCCAATAGTATTTCGACACCCCGGGTTGCCAGTTGGTGGAAAACACAGCCTATTGCAGCCATGGAAGCCAGCAAACGAGCTGGGTCAGAGGTCACAGATTCTACCCGACCTAAAAAGCCTCTACATCCATCGAAAAAGCTCTATGACCAGAGGAATATTAAAACACGGATAAATCAACTCATCAGCTTACAGTGTAAGGCTCATCGCCTTCCGTTGTCAATTGCACTCGTTCCTGTTGTGTCCTCAATCTGGCAACCCGCCTGAGATCTGAGTCTGAGGAGGAGGGGCGGGAGAAACAACTCTCTTCAATATTTTGAAAGACAAAATTAGCTGCAAACCACAGAAGCATATATATTATCACTTGGTATATGCATCTCATGTTAGGGCCATGTATATGTCATTACCATTATAAATCAGATTTTCTAGTGAGATTTGAATGCCATTTTTGTGACTGTCTGTTGAGGTCTGGATTTAAACCGTATAACAGAAGCTTAACTTCAGGCTGTTGTAATGCATTGATCTGTCAGACCTCAGCTGTATTAATAAGCGCTCTGATGTCTGTCTGTTGTAGGTGACGGCTTGATGTGCTCTCAGCTGCTGTCTATGATGGAGTCTCACATGGCGGAGCTCGGTAAGACTTTTGTTTCTGTGCGTGTGTATAAGGCTTCCCTCACGAGGACGTGTGAATTCATATGGTGTTTCTCTGTCCAGCTGACTGTCTGAAGGAAATCCTTCACAGTCTCCAGCGTCTCAGCGCTTCAGAGAAAAGCTCACACAACTGGGAACAATCCTAACAGCTGTGAATGGGCTGGTTGAACATCATTTATATGAAATCAAAAATCACGGTTTCAACAAAAATATTAAGTAGCACAACAACATTTTCAACATTGATAATAATCAGAAATGTTTCCTGAGCAGCAAATCAGCATATTAGAATGATATCTGAAGGATCATGTGACACTGAAGACTGGAGTAATGATGCTGAAAATACAGCTTTGATCACAGAAATAAATTACTTTTTAACAGATATTCAAATAGAAAACTGTTATTTTAAATTTTAAAAATATTTCACAATATTACTATTTTTACTGTATTTTTGATCAAATTAGTGCAGCCTTGGTGAGCAGAAGAGACTTCTTTCAAAAACAGTAAAAAAAAAAACTTACAACCCCAAACGTTTGAAAAGTAGTGTATGTGTACATGAGACGATCAGAACTTGAATTTTAGAAGATTTCTATCTGAATGACTTTCTAACTGATGTGTTTATCCTCGCAGGACACTCGCTTTTACCGACGGAGGGTGAAAAACCACCCTGAACACACAGACGGCCGCAGAGACGGGCCAGAGAGAAGAGCCGTGCCACTCAAGTTCAGATAGAGATGACGGGCCGAACGAGGGCCGAAGACGACGACAAGCAGGCGAAGAGCGTCTCTCACCTGTGCTCCAGTCACATGGTACATGCATCATGAGAACTGACCAATCACAGACAGAGCTGTGTCAGACAGGGCGGAGCCAGAGGATTTGAACTTCCTGCCAGGAATTCAGTGCACACAGAAATAGGGATGGGCGATAAACAACACCAGTATCGAAAGTATCGATACTTAAGGATCGATCCGCCCATCCCTACACAGAAATACATGCGTGGATACTGCGAGCACAAATACTGTTTATTGCTGTACAACGAATCAAACCTCTCATTAGATTAGATTTAAAAGCAACCTATTTAAAGCCTGAATATTGAAAGAGTTTCATTCATAAATCAAACCTCAAATGATCTTTACTCTCAATTGTTCGTCTAATCATCTTCTCTTAAATACTGTGTATGTTATAAATACACTCATTCGTTTGTCAAAACCACTGTTATGCAAACTGCCATATGCAGTTCAGTTCATTCAAACAGCTTCATTGGTATGACTGTAAATAATACAGTATGGCCAAAGCTGGGGAAATATGCAAAACAACAGAATAGTTATTATTATTACTACTACTACTACAACAACAACAACATGACAACGAACTCAAGTTAATCCATAACAAATTAGAACATTTTTAACTGAATATTTAGTTCAATCCGATGCAAAAATGTAAACAGAAATGAATTCTGCTGGTGTTGCATGATTAAGATTTTATGTTATGTCCATTTTATGTCCAGGTTTATGGTCATATTTTTGAAACTACTGTCAATTTATTATAAAAATTTTTTTTTTTTTTACTATATCAATTTTAAAAGATTTTTATGTTAATCAGCTAGTCTGTCAGTTATGAAAACAAAGTCTTTATTGTAATTATGTTACATAAATGTACAAGAATCCAGTCTTTTAAGGTCCGGAAATACAGCATTTAAAGCAAATATATGTAGTTGTGTGTATTTTTGCGACTTCGGGGCCCCCTGCAGTTAAATGAGTGGAATTCACTGTCGTAAATATATCACTATCATAATTACAGTCGTGCATTTGTTGCTGCCATAAAGCAATCCGCCCTTTTCGCGGAATTTCGTACCCGCTCACCAAACTGAAATACCGCGTGAACCGGAAGTTGCTGCCGACTTTATTTCAATGTAGTGACGTATTTCCTGATGAAACTGATTATTGAATCCACCTTTTTCTTGTCGTAAAAATGGGCCATTTGTAAATTCTATGGGTCTTTAATGTATTATCTTAATTATGAACACTGGTTTGTAGTGCAAACCGTTTTACCGTTTACTGCACGTTGTTATTCTCCTCGTTATTTACCTATAGCGGCTAATGAACCGGAAGTCTCACCCATAGGCTTACTTCCGCGTTGAAGAAAAAGGTGGATAGAGGGCGTGGTTTTATATTTGCGCTCCTCCTCTACGTCTCTCACTCATAGCAATCTAACAGTTGGAGGGGTGTGTTTAAGGATTTTCTGCCCAAGCCGTCAAACTGACGTCATCAGCGAAGGAATGCCATTCCAGAGCGGAAGTAAATGTTCAGATTTTGATTAAAGATTATGAAGACAAACAGTTTTTTTCAGAGGATTAACTTGCACGGATTAATTGTTCACATCAAGACTAGCAATGTGCGCTAGTAAAGTAAATAAAGTCAATTTTGATTTCATGCGGACTTTAAGAAGAAGTGCATAGTACATACATAAACCGTTTGGAAGAATATAATGAAAAGCGAAGGAATGCCATTCCAGAGCGGAAGTAAATGTTCAGATTTTGATTAAAGATTATGAAGACAAACAGTTTTTTTCAGAGGATTAACTTGCACGGATTAATTGTTCACATCAAGACTAGCAATGTGCGCTAGTAAAGTAAATAAAGTCAATTTTGATTTCATGCGAACTTTAAGAAGAAGTGCATAGTACATACATAAACCGTTTGGAAGAATATAATGAAAGAGAAGACACTTACCCGAGACAAAAAAAATGCTTGAAGTCCACACGTATTTGGACACTTGAGACACATTTTAAAACATAAGTGGTTCATCACATACTGTATGAATTAGCAAAATATGAAAATAAATGGCATCTGCAAAAAATGATGCCAGAACTTGAGCGATGCTTTTTGTTCAGCTGGAGTTCACACAGGTGTAGAGAAACACTAACGATCAACTCTAGATCTGTTGCTTTTTGCATTTCAAACCTTCTTTTTGACAAATATTTTGCTTCCACTTACCTTTTTATAATACTGGTAAATGACACTTGGTTTAATATTATGCAACTTTAAAAAAATCCATTATTATTGTTTTATATAATCAGCTTACAATTTAGATCATATTCTTCCAAAAAGGTCACTTTTAAAGTGTTTTTGTGTCTTCGTGTTCACAAACTCACACAGATGATTAGTAAAGACTGGCTTTATTGGCAAACACCAGTGTTTCGGTTTAAATAAATCTGATTTCAATGCAATGTGTTCTTCATTTACACAATTTTCCAGAGTATTTTCAAGGTGAATAAATCATATTCCCAAAGCCAAGTGCATCTCAGCTACAGTTTATATACATTAGATTGTATTTATAAAACAAAATCTCCAAAAACTAAAAAAAAAGTTGGCTGATTGTTTTTTAGCACACAATCGAATGTGCTAAAGATACAGATTCCCTTTGTGTTTGATTATCATCTAATCATTAGTTATACTTATTTTTCCTCATAAGTAGCAGCCTGACCGGTCCTCTGCTAGAGAGTCCAGCGTGGCTCGTGTGTGTGTGTGTGTGTGTGTGTCAGGTGTATTCACACAGGTGTCCGCAGCCGGCCGGACAGTGTTTGGACTGTTTCAGCCACTCCATCACATGCTCCAGGTGTCCTCCGTGACTGCAGCCCTGACACCACACAAACAAGCCTTTGACCACGTGATGACACACCGCACACACGCTCGCACACTGGTGGCACCTATGGAGGATTCAAATACATACACAAAATACCCAATCAATCAATAAATATCTTACATTTTTTCTAAATGATAAGATTTTAATTAATAATTTATTTAATTAAAAAATTTTTTTTAATAAATGATATAATAGTACATCAATTTTAATAAGTTTATAATACATTAGAATTTGTATGTGTATATATATATATATATATATATATATATATATATACACAAATTTTTTTTACATTTGTTTTCCAAATTATATTATTAAGATAAATTAATTAGAATGAATAAATTATATCGTAACAAATAAATTCTAATAAATTTATAATAAATTATAATTTCAACATAAAATGTATAATGAAAATATATTCATTGTAGTTGTTTATAAGGCATGTATTTAAACATTTCCATAAATATTAAAAAAGAAAACAAAATACACCTTTAAATGACCTTTAAACACAGTAACAGATGTATAAGCTCTAATGTTAAAGGACTGAAACTCATAGCTTGGTTGATTTTTGACTTGGAAAAGGAGAAAAACAAGATAAAAGTCAGGGATTGGAGGTGGTACCTGTCACAAATCCAGCCCTTGTTGCTCATTGGTCGCTTGCAGTTGCTGCAGTTGATGTGTAAGGTGGTGGAGGCTTGATTCAGACACATGATGGCGCCGCACGTGCTCAGTTTGATCACCTCGTTGCTGACGTTCCACAGCTCGAAGCGCTGCAGGAGGTCGATGTAGGACATGTACCAGTGTTCCTGAAACACAAACACACACAGATTAAAACATCACAAACAAAAACCCTACACTTCCTGTCAAAGTGGGACGGTTTTTCTCACCTGCGTGAGCTCGTCGATCTCCTTGCGGATGCGGTCGCCCAGTACGATCAGCACAGACACGGCCATCTGCACGTCGCCCTGCTTGGCGTAGTAGCACAGCATCTCCTTCACGATAGGGCAGAAGAACTTGGGCGGCAGGTGAGGCGAGAAAAGCAGCTGCGAGACGGAAATGAGACTGAAGGACTCCATGGAAGTCAGGCACGTGCTCTCAGCTTCGCTCCCGCTCACGTGAGGCGACTCGGGCTTCTCCTGCACCGGCTCCGGGGCCGAGGGATGGTCCATGATCTCGTGCCGTAACGGGAACGCCTCCTGAGGGAGCAGGTACTCGGGTTCCTCTGCTGGAGAGAACAGAGGCTTTCCATTTGATTTTTTACACACATACCTGTGAGATGTGTTTGGATGTGCTGACCAACCTGCCTGGTTGTCGTGCTCCATGCTGTAGAGATCATCGTCATCCAGTTCAGCGTCTCCAAACAGATACTCCGCCTGTCCCTCGCTGCCCTCCGTTTCCTCGTTCTCTGCACTCAGAAACACATCTTTTATCCAATGTTTTAGTTTTCTGGCAGCTAAAAATCTGCACTGACAGCTGAGGAGGCCACAGAGACGCCATAATTACTACATATATACATACATTACTACATAATCACAAATCAAAATCCATCTGTATAATAACAGTCAGCCAAGTTATTAACCTTGAGGCGTTTAAAGGGTTAGTTCACCGAAAAATGACAATTCTGTCATCATTTACAGGTCATTCCCAATCTTTATGACTTTATGTCTTCTGTGGAACATAAAAGGAGATGTTTAGCAGAATGTCCAAATTGCTCCAAGTTGAAAAAGCACCATAAAAGGAGTCCATGTGACTTTTGCACTATGTTCCAAGAACAGACTGAATCCATTACTTAATGTCAATCATACAGGTTTGGAACGACATGAGGCTGAATGATGAAAGGATTTTTGGTTTTGGGTGAACTACCCCTTCTTTTGCCAATTTTCTGCACAGAAACTCTGTGGGTGAAGTTTAATGGGCATCAGAATGGTTTTGTGAACAATGCAAAGTTTCTCAGTAAATGCAAAGATTTTGCAAGTGAAAGCAAAGCTTCTCTGGGACAGGCAGAAAAAAGTTTTTCTAAAGCAAGTGCAAGGTTTCTTAGAGAAACGCAAAGGTTTTGCAATTGAATACAACGTTTATTAGGGAAACGCAAAGGTTTTATGAGTGAAAGCAAAGTCTCTCTGGCAAATGCAAAGATTTTAAAAGCAAATGCAAAGTTTCTCTGGTAAACGCAAAGGTTTTGTGATCAAAGACAATACTTCTTGGGGGAATGCAGAGGTTTTGAGAGAGCAAGCACAAAGTTTGCTCTGTAAACACAATC